CAAAGCCTTCGCATTTCTTCACAACAGATATCAGTTTCAGATCCTGATTTTCCGGCAGCAGTAAGCTTCTGACGCACGAGCGCGAGTGATGTGGACGAGCCTTTAGGAAGTGAAAGCATTTAAAAACTTCGCTTAGGGTGTCCACGAGTTTAACCATTTTAATATTTAAATAGTAAATATCACCACCGTCCAGAAGCCATCAGAAATTAGAGTTCTCCACCATATATGAAATCCCAAGCAAATTCTAATGGTATGATTCACAAATATATTTGTATATCTGGTTGACCGAGGTTTGTAAAGTAATTTATACTCAATCTGCTATGTAACTGCATGTTAAAGAATTCAGTAACATAAAGAGCATACATTTTACTCAGGTGCATATACGTATATCCTGCATTCAGCACCTTTTAATACATCTGTGAACACACCTCAGATTTAAATAATATATTGAGCTTGTCGTTCTATACAGTAACAGAAGTGCGTACACTCCGGAAGCAGTTCACTTGCATTCATGAACATGCAGGCGTACGTCAAACAGTTGAGCCTAAGTAAACCGATGACCTTAGAATTCTTGTCCTCAGGAAGAAATGGAGTGGTGTGCCAATGTCCGGCTTCCTGCTACAGGAGAGAAATAGTGAGATATGGAAGCTTCTACCTGAGGCTTGGAGCAATGGGTGTGTAATTATTCCCTTCTATATACTGTACCACTTGAAGTAGATAGTTATTCAGCAGTTCAAGAAATGTATTCAAACCGAAGAATGCCTATGAATCAGACAAAGTCCTGCATATCCTCACACCCACCTTCCTGAGAAACTGCACATTTCCGCTTCTCCATTCATGTCACACTCGGCACAGCTTCAGTATAATATTACACCAAGTATAATTTTTATCGGCATTCAGAACACACTTCTTTTATTTGTTTTTTATGTGTACGATATGCTACAAGCCGGAAGGTCACGGGTTCAAGTCCCGATGACGTCNTTTTTCAATTGAACTAATCCTTCCAGCCTCACTATGGCCCTGGGGTCTACTCAGCCTCTAACAGAAATGAGTACCAGGAATTAATTAAAGAATTTTCCTGGGGAGTAAAGCGCGGCCGGCGCGTAAGGCTGACAATCTTACCGCCATGTTTGAGCCGATTGTCTAGATAGTGTGGGACCATCAACGTCTCACAGCCCTATGGGCCTTCACGGCCTGTTACAGGGATAGCTTTAATTTTTTACTTACGATATGGTTCAATCTATGTGCTTATTGGATTCTAAAGGGTTCTGAGATGGTGTATAACAGTCAGAATTACTGGGTATTTGGATTCTGTCCATCGTCCGGTATTCTAGAAACCAGTGAACACAACGTTTTGGAAACTAGATCTGTTTCCGTCCTCATGTGATGGGCCGGGGGGGATACATTGATAGAGGTTAGCTCTTTCTAAGGGACCCACAAAAGTAGCTTTCTCCCTTTCCACTTGATGACGGAAACAGAACCAGTTTCCTAAACGTTGTGTTCACTGGTTTCTAGAGCATCGGCCGATCGACAAAGTCCAAAAACCCATTAATTCTCACTATATGTTTACGAATTCATTACGTTATTAATTCAATGTACGTATTTACATACGTATATGTTGACATCACAGAACATTGCAGTCCAAGGGTTAGTTTACCTGTTTCATATTCTGAAGGTCCTGGTTTTGATACCTGGCCCAGAGACCTGCTGTTCTGTGCGGACAAGGTTAACAGCCGGAACATCAGCAACACTGTGATAGCAAAACGCGAATGGTCAACATATAATACAAAATCTCACCACTGCACACAATCCTGAGCCAGTTTCATCCACCCCCCCTTCATCCTCACAACCCCTTTCTCTTACATCCTTCCTCACGAATGTTGCGTTGTAGCTGATGGCAATCCCGCATCGCATCTGAAGTTACCGGGCACACTAAGCCTCCTATCCAATGGGTACCAGCGGTGATTTCTCAGGGGGGGAGACGGTTGAGGCGTGGAGCTCACCACTCGCTTCCATCCAGTGCCGAGGCCAAGAATGGTGGAGCCATACCTCCATTCCTCCACATGTCGTCATGACATGCCGTGTTTATTTAATTAAGCACAGAGACAACTTTTATCTTTAACCTTACCTACACAGTATTTATTTTGCGCATGCTATTGCAGGGTTTGGTATTGGAAGCATGGTGTACTCCGGGCTCGAATTTGGACAGTATTTCGCAAAAGACTCTGATTGCGACGACACGCTTCTGGTCTTCCGATCCGGCACGAGGATGCTACTCACACTCATGCAGATCCAGTTCATGTTCCTCAACAACAAAGTACGTAACAGAAAACATTCAGTAAGATCGGAAGTTTTGAAATATGCGATGGAAGATGCTAAAGTTTGGTGTTTCTCTAGAACATAAAGGCTGAGCAAGTTGGTCTAGTGATAACGCTCGAGATATATATATGCAGAAGGTTCCCGGTTCGATTCTCGGCTGTGATATTTCGTGGCTTTTCCGAGACTCTCCCTAGCAGATGCGATGACAGTATCTGGAATAGACCATTACCGTTTCATTCCAGATCCATTCTAATTTATCAGCCATCAATCATCCAACCATTCGACGCTATGTAATCCTGATACGGACAGTGTATAAAAAAAATAATTAAATTGGTTCCACAGCAGGTTTCAGTGATCGGAACTGCTTAAATCACGTACTTTTCACTTGACTATAAAATTAATTAAGTAACTTAGTCTTTTAAAATTATTGTTATTATTATTATTATTATTATTAT